ACCATTGCGTTGGGGGGGGGGTTTCTTCATGGTTTCTTGCACCAGGGCCCTGAAGGTTCTAGTTACGCCACTGTGGCTCACTATGAACAAAACAAATGTAGGGCTCATCAGTTTCATTTTCCTCAAGACAAGGCAAACTGAACTGCAGAGCCCATTTCTAATACAGACTTTAGAGGAGATTGTAGTTGACAGTAAAAACCTCAAAAGGTTTTCTTAGCAAACATTTCACACAAAACAATGGATAAATGATAATGGTAAACTGGTAAAGGTGACAAACACTGCCCTACAATGCAGCCCTGCACGGTCATGCAGTTCCAGTGCTCCGATTTCTTGCAGTTACATTTTCTCTATGTCTTCTGTGAATAAATAATGGTTGTGCCCACCTGGCTGAGGCAGAAGTGATGTAAGATTCTTTATCTGTCTCTATGCACGGGAAACCCAGGAAATGCATTAAAAAAAAGGACCTAAAAATGGTTTTCCTGGATAATAAAATAAAGACATTGCCTAGGGAAGGAGATTAATAGTGAACTATACTAAGGAAAGTACCTTAGGGGAGGAGAGAGGGGAGGTCAGGTCAGTTATGTTCTTCAAACAATTGTTCAAAAGGATACCCACACTTTTGTAGCTTAAAGCTGACCTTTACCCAGTCACTAAACTCTGCATGCCGATATGAAATCATCTTACATTCATTAGCTAAACAAGCATATTTTTCTTTTGCTTACAATTATTGTTTTTCCACTTCCTGGTCCTCTTGGGCATTTGTGATGTAATCTATGCCCAAGCATTGCATCCTGGGAAGGTTACATCAGCAGAGCATTGCTGGGAAATCTCACGAGATCTCAGGGAAAGGCATTTTCCTCCCCTGAGATGAGGTGCATGGTCAGATGTCCGAGTCACATGTGTCAGAGTTCCAGGACGTAAAGGGAGATGGATTCATCTGCCCTTAGTAAAAATGGCCACTGTCAGAAGACTGGGGAGGAAAAGAGAAATAAGGAATGCAAAGAATAAAAAGCCTGCAAAGATCTATAAATATCTGTTTGTAGATTGTCATCACTAAACATTTCTAAAGGCGTCTTTGTCGTCATTGTAAAGATATGGGTAAAGTTTCTCTTTAACCACTTGAAGACCAGGGTGTTACACCCCCTTCCTGTCCAGGCCGTTTATTATAGTATTCAGCACTAAGGTACTTTGACATTTATTCCGTCACACAATGCTGTACAGAAATGAATTTTATATAATTTATTTTAGGAACAAAGCTTTCTTTTAGTGGAATTTTATCACAACTGGGGGTTATTTTTTACTATATAAAATGAGCAAAAGTACTAAAAACTTTTGGGAAAAAAACTGCTTTCCCTACGCTATCAAGCATTTATTAGCCCCCAAATTTTCGGTAAAATATAAAAGATGGGGTCATGTCGGGTAAATAGACACTAAACATGTCAAGCTTTAAAATTGCGCACACCTGCAAAAATCACAAAAAACAACAACCATACCTAAAACTGGCCATAGGCTCTCATCAGTTTAGTGTTCTCAGTGATTAGTGGCCCTAAAATTATTGCTCACACTCAGACGTCCGTAGTGATATGTAACATGTGTGGCGTAATCAATTTTGGACACAGGCACACCCATCACGCATTCACATTTAAATGTGGGGGGGGGGGACACGCCGTTTGGCACCATACAAGCAATCGGGTGGGCTGCAGAGTTGTCCATAGGACACAGGGAGGGTAGGGTTGTGACAGCTGCAGTTAGTGACAGCTGAGACAGGTGGCGCTGTGATTACAGCACCACGGTCTCAGTGATCACACAGAGCAGATGAAGAATGGACGTTCTTCGTCTGCTCTACACTCTATGGCTGAGCGGTTCTGCGGTGGCCTCGGGACCCCGAAAACCACGGCGGGGGGCCCCGGACACAATCACCACTCGATTTGATACAAGTGATCGGTTTAGATCACATGTATTAAATGAGCAGCGGGTCCCACTGTACATTTAGCTCTGCTTGTCCGGAGCAGGGCTGAATTTACACCAAAAAAAAAACTGTATGTCACGGACGTTGGGCGATAGGGATTCGCTTCATAAGACGCACAGGGAGGGGGAGTGCGTCTTATGGAGCAAAAAATACGGTAACTGGTTGTTTCTGATCTGAGTTACTGCCCTCAAACAAGCATGAAGCAAGTGATCAGAACTGCTGATATGTAGACTTGTCCCAGCTCATGGTCTCAAAGTACTGAAGGCACCGGACCTCCACTATTGCCTTAAATAAATGGGGTCCACAATAGCAGCCTACATATCTCTCCGGACAGGTTTTCTTGATTTAGGCGGTGTAAATTTTGGAGCCTACATAAAGCGTATTTTAAAATTGCAGTCAAATTAGGATAACACTTATTTTATATATGTGGATTGGTGGCTACTTTACAACACACACAGGGACCATGGGGAACAAAAGTAGCCCCCCTCCAGAAGGAAGGACAGTGTCAGCACCAATTCAGAGATGATTTGCATTTTAAGATTTAAGTCGAAAGTTTAGTGTCATTTTAACACTAGCTGGCATGACCGCTTTAATGCTACCCATAGACATACAACTGCAGTTTTAAAGGCTCTCTTTTCCTACCCAAAATAGATAGAAAAAAGGAGAATCTGGTGGCAATGGATAATCTGGACAATTATTCTTCCACACACTCACAAATGGCCCATTCTCTTAAAGACAGATCAATGAAACCCATTGCTACTGTGAGCCCCAAAGAAGCAGGGGCAGAAATGATCGAGTCAGTTGTAGGTGAACCTAACAGGCTATAAAAGGAACCCACAGCTATTCACTGGTATCGTATATAAATGGTCCATAATGGTGCAAGGTACCCCTAGTCACAACACAGTTTGAGAGGGACAGTAAGTATTCCAGAAATGCATGCCATTGTTCCCCACTCTTCTTGTCCTGAAGCTAAAAAAAATAAAAAAAATTGTATGTGAAGGCCTTACCTGCGCTCATTACATGCTTCACAACTACATGCTATATCAGCAGGTGCCGTATTGTTGAGTGCTACAGTGGATGCAACTGTCTGAGCTCCCACGAGCATCCTCCCTCCGCCAACAGACTCCTGCTTTGAACCGCTGTTCCCAGGGGGCATGTGCAAAAGGAAATCTTGACTCTGAAAACAAGGAAATGCTCAGTCTTGGAAAACAATTGCAACTGGTTTAGATATACAAACCCCCCCCCCACCCTCCCGAGGCAGCCTCCTGGGATGCCAACATCACATACCCTAAGAGGATGCAGGAGGGAAATCTTTTCCATTCATGTAAAAGGACCTGATGCACATATCGTGCATGAGCAGACAGAGATCTGGCATGGTCCTATTTTCCCAGGAGGCATTGTGATCCTCCATTCATAGAACAGTATGTAAATAGATCTGGTGACAGACCTCACATACGCACAGAGATGTGGTGCCAGGTCTATTAACATACTGCCTCCAGAGATTGCTATCCTCAGTATGTAAGAGAACAGCATGTAAATACACCCAGCACCAGATCTGTCAGCACATGCATGAGATCTGCTGCTACGTCATCGAGGATTGGGGGGCGGGGGAAGAACCAGAAAGATAAAGCCAGCTACCCGTGACATCACCAGGCAAGATGTAGGCACAGGACCAGTGGGAGAACAACGGGGAGAGAGACAAAAACAATGCTGGATGCATTGAGCTTGTAAGTATCAGTTACAGCAACTACAAGCAACTACAAGTATGGTTACAGCATAGGTAAAGCACAAATACAAGTTAAGTGGGTAAGAATTTGGGGCTCTTCAAATGCCAGAGCTTTGCTGGCTCAGGGGGTCAAGGAGCACCACTAGACCGATGGTCTAGCCACAGCGAAGCACCGGCATCTGAAGAGCAAGGAAGGGGAGACTTATTTATACAACCAAGAGCAAACACCTGGTTGGAAGCCCAACAAGTCACTTCCTCAATATGCACCGCATTTGTCAAGCAAAGAGGACCTAATCATAAAGTTCATGAAAGCATAAATGCTAGACTACAAGAAGTAAATCCAAAATGGTGGAGGCAATGGCTGAGGTAGGTCAAGAAGCAAGGGTGGAAAAGGCAACATCTCAGAGAATGGTGCCCGCAACACCTGACACTTCTGCAAGGGAGGTTGTTGAGGGAGACAACGTGATGACGAGGGCCTTATCCAAGTCCTTACTGCCAGATTGTAAAAACAAACAAATCCACAGGCAGGCATTAATAACCCTCCAGTGGCGCCCAATTAATGGCCAGCACTTACCACTAAAGATTGGTCTGGGGTGGGGTGGATATCCTCGCTCTCTACTGTCCTTCGGCAGTCTGAGCACACCCACAAGGGAAGGTGCATCTTGGCATTGGCTTTCGGAGATGTAGAAAGTGCTAGTTTGCTTGAGTTTTTTGTGCCGCACTCAGAGAGTGCAAGGTCCTTGCGTTCGCTTCTACAGAGAAGACAGTGTTCTCCAGTTGTGTATGGAGCTCTCTGGCCCAGGCCAAATGTAAAAGGAGCCTGTAAAGAATAGAGATAAAAATAAACATTCTGGGAAAGACCATTACTCACTCACTCAATACAGGACAATTTCTTACTAACTTCTGTTAGATTATGGTTTTTTTGCTTTTCCACTAGTTAATAGGGTGCAAAATGTGCAATGAGCCAAATGGCTGAATGCACAGGTTCTTAGTGAAGAGCCAGCTCCGAGTCATACTGAAAAGGAAAGCAGGCTGTCACCTGTAGGCATTACACAATTCAATGAAAACCCACCAGAAACATTATTCAACACCAGTGCTCCTTATACAAGCACTCCCAGAATCTGGGCCAGTTATCTGATTTGAGTTTTGTTTTATTAAAGTGGAAAGTGCAACTAAAATGTTTTCTAACAGCTGATCAAGATAACAGGATTTTTACATTACCGTTTTTTGGAATACATCACAGGACACAGGGAGTTAATGCTTGAAAGACGGGTTACGCAACTACTGCAATAAGAGAATACACCTCATCTATCCAATCAGGCAGGCCCTTGCACTACATGCTTGTTAACAGATCTAAAGGAGATTGTACAATCAGATTGTAAGGTGTGCGGAGAGCTGAAGACAACCCTGTATAGCCTCTCCACCGAACTGGCAATTACTGGGGAACACCTATTCAGTGAATCCTTGGACATTTATATCAAGACAAGAAAACACAGAAAATGCCAAAAAGGAGCGCTACTACCCTAGAAATGCTGGCAGCCCTGATGGAGCCTGTTATGTGAAAAGGACAAGTGACTCACAGTTTGGATGGCAGCGATCGTGTCTGACGATACCCCTTGGAGTGGCGTCTGGGAGCGCAGTCCCTGCAGTTGGGCAATATGCCAGGAACAGATGGCTAGAAAGTCTGGGGCATAAAAGAAATAGAATCCCAGCACACATACTCGGCTGGCCAGGCTGAGCCGCGGCGGCTGGAAAAAAACGGCTCTGAAGTGCAAACAGACGTGTAGTGTACCGGAGGTCTACACAGTGCTGTGAGCGAATGCACTGAATTGTCGGGAGTGGTGGATGGAGTAGGGGCTCTCAGTGGTCTGGTGCTACGCGTTTCGAGGCAAGGCCTCTTTGTCAAGCTTCAATATAAAATTCTCAGCAGGAAAACGGAGATCTTCAAAACTGACAGGTGGGAGGGGTGGTGAACTATTCGCCCCCATGATAGGTCAGCCGGCTGAGTGTGGGAGTGTCTACAAAAGAAAGCACCTCCCAGGGGACGGCCTCCCGGCCCAAATATTAGAGAGCTAGCATGCCGCAAGTGTCAGATGTGTGTATCTATTAAAACGATGTGGTGGTTGCTGGCAAACTGAATGCATATCCCCATCCGCTGTACTTTTCGGTATACTAATGGCATGTCCTGTCGCCCTGGGCTGTGGGAAAGCCCCCGACCGACCTGGACCACCATTTAAAAAAGGTACAGGGAATATTCAATTTAATTTAAAAAGTTGTTTTGCTTTATTATAATTCCATGATTTATTATAATTCCATGATTAAAAACAATATACAGCTGCTACAAACAATACACATTAAAATTAAATTGGATATAAATATAAAAACTCCAGTGAATACACTGGATGATGATGATGATGAAGGTATACAGAGTTCTTTATATGTAGTTGGTGAGCTATATGATCATTAAGAGTTATAATATGGTGTGAATTTCAATTTCCTCTTTTAAACAAACTGGTTCTAGAGTGTTTCATTTATAAATCCAGAAGGTTTTTCTTTTGCACAATAGATGAAACCGTTCTGACGGGGATAAATGTGTGGCAATAGTACATTATACAGCGCAATGCAGAATATCACCAGCTATAGAGGAGCACAACAAATCCCAGCAATAGTACATTATAGCTGGTGGTATTCTGCATTGCGCTGTATAATGTACTATTGCTGGGATTTGTAGTCCTCTATACAGTGCAGTGCAGAATATCACCAGCTATATAGGAATACAACAAATCCCAGCAATACATTATACATGCATTATACATGCAGTATACATTATATACATACAGTGTATAACGTATTGCTGGATGTGTATTCCTTGCTGGATGTGTATTCCTATGTATAATATACAGCACAATGTACCATAAGCTAAGGATGTACCATAAGGAATACAAATCCCAGCAATACATTATAGAGCACCATGTGTGGGAAGTGCAGGCTTATACCTGAGCAGTCTTCCAGCAACTTGCTTCTGAGATCGGACCTGTCTATCAGCGGCTGTCATCCCCCACCCCTGCTCCTCCTTACTACATCTCCCCGCGTCCCTGTGCCAATCGTGGATGTGGGCGGGCGGTGAGTGTGAGGCGGGGAGGAGGTGCGGCGTGGATGCGGGCGGGTCTGGCAGCGGCGAGCGTGAGGTGGGGAAGAGGTGCGGCGCGCAGCGTGTGTGGAGCCGTGAACAGGGCCAACTGATCAGAAGCCGATTAATCGATTATTGAAAAAGTTGACAACTTTTTCAATAATCGATTATAATCGATTATGTCGATTAGTTGTTGCAGCCCTAATCTCGATTACAGTCTAAATATATAGAGTACGCCTCAGTGATGAGGTCCTCTGGGTATTTCTTTTCCCTACATTTCTCAAGGAGGAGTTGGCTAGATGCTGTGTAATCTGTGTTTTGAGTGCAGCTTCTTCTTAGTCTGCAAAATTGACTCTTGGGAATATTATTTATCAAGGAAGTCCAGTCATGTGAAAAGGCAAGTACACCCTCTTTGAATTATATGATTTTGTGTATCAGGACTTAATACAAATCTGGTCCTTAGCAGGTCTTAGAATTAGGTAACTATAACTTGAAATGAACACCACCAGGTGACATATTACACAGAGACATTATTTAATTTGACAAAGTCAAAATGGAGAAGCCCCTGTGTGAAACACTTAAGTACACCTTATACTTTAATAGCTTGTAGAACCACCTTCAGCTGCAATAACCTTAAGTAATCGTTTCCTACATGACTTTCAGTCTCTCACATCATTGTGGAGGAATTTTGGCCCACTCTTCTTTACCATGTTTGATTCAGTTGATTGAGGTTGCAGGCATTTGTTTATGCACAGCTCTCAAGACCCCACCACAGCATTTCTATTAGGTTGAGGTCTGGTCAATGACTGGGCCAATGCAATACTTGATTCTTTTCTTTTTTCCAGCCATTCTTTTGAAGATTTGCTGGTGTGCTTGGGATCATTGTCTTGTTGCATAACCCAATTTTAGCCAAGCTTTACCTGTCAAACAGATGGCCTCATATTTGTATATAGAGAAGTTCAAAGCCAACTCAATGACTGCAAAGTGCCCAAGTCATGTGGCTACAAAACAAGCGATAATCATCACCCCTCCACCACTGTGCTTGGCAGTGGGTATGAGGTGTTTATGCTGATATGCTGTGTGTGGTTTTCACTGTGCTTATGGCCAAACATCTCCACTTTGGTCTCGTCTGTCCAAAGGGCATTGTTCCAGAAGTCTTGTGGGTTGTTCAGATGCAACTTTACAAACCTAAGCCGTGCCGCCATGTTTTGTTTTTAGAGAGAAGAGGCTTTCTCCTGGAAACCCTTCCAAACAAACCATATTTGTTCAGTCTTTCTAATTTTACTTTCATGAACTTTTAACATTTAACATGCTAATTGAGGCCTGTGGAGGCAGAGATGCAACTTTCAGCATTTTTGCAATTCCTCCAAGCATTGCATGGTCTGACTTTGGGAGAATTTGCTAGGATGCCCACTCCAGGGAAGAATGACAACGGTCTTGAACATTTTCTACTTGTGAATAACCTTGCTCACAGTAGAATGATGAACTTTAAATTGTTTGCAAATCCCCTGGTTGTTACTTGCTCTTATTAACTATGGAAGCAGTAAGTGTGTACTTAATCTCTTGCCCCTACCGTCTCCATTTTCACTTTATGTTTGTAAAATAATGACATAGTATAATATGTCATGTATTGTTGTTCATCTGAGGTCGTATTTACCTAATTTTAAGACCTGCTAAGGACCAGATGATTTTTATGTCCCAATACGTAAAATATATAGGGGGTGTACTTTCTTACAGATAAAAAATTTCTGGTCTGGAGACGATGTGAACAGGCCCTTACACATCTCAATTTTCCCTGCCAATTCTTGTCTATTCTGGTCTAAACCAAGGTGCAGAATCATGTTTTAGCTCTACTTATGTCTCAGGGCATCCCCATAGTGGGATTCCGGGACAATTTTCTTCTCAGATAACAGTCAGCGGAAGCAGACTGTTTATGTCTTGTTTAAAAAAGATAGTTGAATCTACAACAGTGGCTGCTTATTTCTTAAGAAAACCCTCATCAGGGTACCGCTGAGCAAACTATTTAGGAGAAGTAAAAGGTTTTCGGGGTGATCCGAATCACAACACTGGCTGTAAGACAAGATTTTTGCAGTACCCATATAATCGGTTTCTTGGTTTACAGATTGATATAGAGTTATATTCTTAAATAGGTTATGCTACCTTAAGGTGATTGGACATGAGCAAATGAAGCAAATCCAAAAGGACAACCCTGTATAAACCATCCAACTCTAAGCCCGCCTCAGCTTTGCAGCAAGCAGTGCAGAGTAATCACAGAAAACAGAGGTGAGGGTCCTCTGATGTACTATAAGAAATAGAATTTAAAACTACTGTTTTCTTAATCATACATCACAGGACACAATGAGTTAAATACTTTAACCACTGGGATGTTCAAAAGCGGTCCAACAGAGGGGTCGGCAACACAGCAGCTAACGGGCCAAAGGAAGAAGGAACTAGAAACAGGTATGTCCTAATTCAAAGTGCCGTGGATCTTCCAGGCAAAAATGGAAAATCTGCTAAAGCCAAAATCAGGTCGGCTTCTTGCTGAGCTGCACTGCCTCAGGTGCCTCCCAGATGGTTGATAGAAGACGGTGAATGCAGGGTGCAGAGACTAAGCACATTACAGGT